GACAGCACATCCGGTAGTAAAAGTAGACTCATTTAATTTAATTTTGCATGGGCTCTTCGCGACTCTGGAGTCCTGCAGGAATCCGGAGGACAGTGAAGAGGAGTGAGAGTTAGTTGTTTACGAGCACACTCGCAAACAAATCTCTCCCCTTTTTAAAAAAATAAAATAAATCCCTTACTGTGTATTTCACTGTAATCCTAAATCAAACGCATCTAGCGATCTAGCACTAACCGAGGTCACACCAGTGGCGTAGCCAGGAATTATTGTGTGGGTGGGCCTGGAGAAATGTAGGTGGGCCAGGGGAGACATATTAAGCGTGGGGTCTGAGCTGAAACTTCATTAATGATTTTTTTAATGCAATAAGCATAAATTAGCAGTGAAAATAAAAACATAGGCACGGCGGCCTCAGAATGTGTGTAAAACTGACAGGGATGGGTATCGTTAAGGTTTGAACTTTTATCGATCCGGTCCTTTTAACGGTACTTTTATCGGTTCTTTTGGAGAAAAAAAACAAGGTAAATTTACTAAACAAATTGTGAACAAAACTAACAATGCTTTTTATTTAAATTAAATACATAATATTTCACATCAAAAGAAACAACAATGTTTTAACAAATCGTATTAAATAATCTGATGACAGCACTGTAAACAGAATAGCTGAAACTTTAACAAAATAAATAACTCAGTTACCTCTAATCATTAACCCATGTTTGTATAATGTAGTTAACTCCGTGTGTTGCTGATAGCATACATAACACCTGACGTGGAAACGTTACTCGTGGATGGGGCTACAGAGCTGCTAGAAAGAGTCAAACCCGGTGAATTCCTCCGTCTGAATGTGGTACACTTTTGCGGGGCCCACCCACAGCTACGCCACTGGGTCACACTGCTGTAAAAAGTCAGCTGCTAATGATTGGCACTTTGTTGGACCAATTAGCAGTATTACGTCACGAACCCTAGTGCATGTAGCCCAGCGCCTATTGGATCACAGAATCGGCCAATCGGAAGAAGAAACTCCAATGGGCGGAACCGGAAACACGTTCAGACGATTTCTGTCTTTCTGTCAAGTAAAACAGTTAGCCGTAACAGCTCTCCTAAAACATTACAGCCGCTTCTAAACCCGTATGAACAGCTATATTTGATAATTGCAAAGTACGGATCGGTTTGTCGAGGCTACGCTTACTATATTATATCTCATATTTCAGAAGGTAAGATTTAATTCAGCTCTGGTTTGCTAGCATGCTAATGCTAATACATATTAAAGGAGCAGCCGGTTAGCTTGATCCCTGAGCTAACGTCACATCCATTGAAATAAACACAAGGTCTGGGGGGCTTATTTTCCTGATTTATGGTGTGAATTGTTGACTACTACTTGTGGGAATGATCTATTTTGTTCACATGTGATGTATGCGTACATTTAGCCTCCGCTGGGCGTCTTTTGAAGCCAGTTTTTACTGTCTTTGTCTCTGTGTTCTTCTCTCAGTAAGTCATCATGGGTGAGGTGGAGCTGTCTTGTCGGGCCTATGTGAAGATGTTCCTGCACGCCTCTCTGTTCCCTCGGTGCAGCATCAACGGGCTGCTGCTGTCCTCCAGCTCTGCAGGCGGGGCTGTGTGTGTGACAGACTGTGTCCCGCTGCTTCACTCCCACCTGCCCCTGGCTCCCATCACCCAGCTGGCCCTGACACAGGTAGGAGGACTCATGGTGAAATAACTATTCAGATCCCCTTACTGAGTTATCATACTAATTCCAAACTGGGGGATGCTACACTTCAAAGTGTGACTTTATTCAGGTAGCTGGAATATACACACGTCCTTTTTGCAGAGTTAGAGCCAAGTTAAAAACAATTTCCAAAAACATCCTCAGCCCTCATCTATTGGTTTAATGTTCCGATTTTCTAATATTTTGTGCCATGCTGTGTAATCTAGTCAACATTAAACTATTGGGCAATGGTAAAGGAAACTGGGTCAATGAATCTCAGTCAATGAACAGCTGACTTTTAAATCGATATGATTGTCCCATCTTTCATCTCCTTCAAATATTGTTGCACTCTAAATCTAATTAGTGTTTTATTGACTATACCTTTTACCATATTAATGGGCAATGAATGATTAACTTTTGAAACTAACTCTAATAGGTTTTTATACCAGATCAAATGACTTTACTGGCTCTTGTGCTGCAGAGGAAGCTTTCTTGTGATGAGAAGAGTCCCCAAAACTCTTTCTGTAAGAGTTTCTAGTTTTGCATTTGAGATAATTGATGTCTTAATGTTTTGGTTTGCTCTCTGGTTTCAGGTTGATGTGTGGTGTTCACAGACTAAGCAGAGGATAGTGGGATACTATCAAGCCAACGCCTGTGTGACAGACAGCAGGTTAGTTTCCTGTTTTTTACTATTGAACGTTTAGTAAAATGTTCAAATATGTTGGTAAGTTCAGTTTTGGTCAAATGTTAACCTTTCAAACTTTCTGTTAAATCTGTGTTCTTCCCTTAAACCCCACAGCCCGACACCATGTGCAATGAAGATAGCGGATAAGATTTCTGAGCAGTTTGACCATGCAGTTTTGTTAATGGTAAGAGATTTAAAGGTCACCTATCATGCTATTTTTAGGCAATAGTATAGGTCTCAGATATATACGAATATATAGAAAACATGTCTATAAAGTGTTTCGCTCAAAATACCAAACAGATCACCCATTCTAGCCATGCCTCATATCCCTCTATTTCACTTCCTGTTTCAAAAGTGCTGATTTGGGTATAAAGCTTAAAAAAAATTATATATATATATATATACAAAATAAAAAAGGAGGGGGCTGAGGGGAGATTCTACCGGCAGCTACTGTCTAAACTAAATACTGCCGTGATGAAACGCCATATCGTGGATTATCAAGGATTCTTTCTGAAACAGTCTGGAGCTCAAAGGCTTTCTCTCTTGCCGGTTATACCACAATAGGGGTGCAACAACTAATCAACTTAATCGATTAAAATCGATTACCAAATTAGTTGGCAACTAATTCAGTCGTCGATTCGTTGGTGACGTCATCACATGTGTTCTACACCCCGTTAAGCTCCAACGTT